AAAATTAATAATTTTCGTAATAATTAACTCGTCATTGTGAGTTCAAATTTGAACTGAAGATACTTGAAGAAGTGGGAAACGGTATGGCATCAAAAAAATGTTCCAAAAAAAGTTTCCCTGATTTTTCCAATCCAATTTGGTATGACTTTGCCTGTGATGGATGGGCTTTCCACAAACAGTGTCGCAATTGTTGAATGACTTTTAAGTCAGGTTTTCCGACAAAAAACCGAAACAATCAAGCATATTGAACACTACAGTTCGTTTAATGTGCAACTCATGCCAAATACGTTGTAATTTCGATTGAAAATATCACTGGCAGCCGAATTCATTTTCTTTTTGTCGCTTGCAGCGCCATCTATTAATCAACTTTGGAATTTTTTTGATGTCGTACCATTCCCCCTTTCTACAAGTATTGTCAGTTCAAATTTAAACTCATTGTGTAGAGTGTTTCTTTTTTTACAGCATTTTGAAAGTGGGACTTTAATTATAATCATCCTGTATTATACGACAGATAGAATATTTAGATGATGGTACAGATAAAGTTTTAATAAATATTTTACGTAATCGCTTTGTTATTAACCAGCCAGCTCTGCTATTAATAGCAGAGCTATTTAACTTAAATTAAGTCATTCTGATTCCCTTCAATTCTCATTACACTACTTTAATAAATCAAGCAGACTATAAAATAAATATTTAAAGTTAACTAGACATATATTCATTAAAGTGGATTACGTCTAAGTTAATGATCCGTTTTATATCCGGTTTCATATTGAAAGTGTTTAGCGAATACAATTATATCGCTAATACGTCTCTAGTCTACACAATAATAGTAAGATATATAATTCTAGCATTTACATTAATTACGAAATTCTTTTAACTTATGGCTTTACAGTTTAATAAATGCTGTTTTGAATAAATATAATTAAAAAATATTTCATAGAGTACATGTAAATTTAGAATTATTTACATAGATTTGAATGTATTCATTTGATTATGATATTAATCTAAATTAGAAGTAAATATTTATTTGCTGTTCTTTAAATTTAAAACTACAAAATAATAATCAAAGAACTGCTTTTTTTGGAAAAAGTTAAAACTAAATTTGCTGTTTTTTACTAAAAAAATTACTTTTTTCTGCTAAATAGCTGAGTATTTGAAAGTGTACTTAATATTTTAATTAAAAATTTAAATTCAGAAATCAATCTTTACTTATATATTTATAACAAAATCGCAATCTAAATAATATAAAAAAAATAAACTCTTAATTTTGGTTTAGTTTGTCGCTTTACTGTCATTGTTTGCACACTTTAGGCTAATTAAAAAGTAATGTGGGACCTACAGTTTAAGATGGATTCTGACACTAATAAACATGCATGCCACCGTCAGTATTAAAACCTGAAGCCTGTCGTACCAAATGCCTGAAAGCTAGCCACTTGGCCATCAGAGCACCGATAAGTTCTAACTACAAATAACTTTAACAAATCATTCCAATTAAGTAACATACCCAATTTTGATTTCAATAACATAACAAATAATGGTTAATATTATATGATAGTGGTTAATATAATAAATTATGTGTAATATATAAACATATATAAACATTATATTACATGAACAATAATGGTTATAATATATGATTGTAAACATATCACTAATATAAAATAGATTTTATTAACACATTATATGATTGATCAATGAGATAAAAGAAGGGAAAATAGCAACTGAGTGCCATATGTGAATTGCATTTTTTTGTAGTTTTTACCATCTTGTTGTCATGATGAATACTTGTAAGACATGACTTCAAGACAGTAAAATGTCAAACACAGTTTATTTTACAAGGATAAGGTACTTTACAAACATTCACAACTTACTTTATTGATCATGGAATCAATGTAGAATGAATAAGCAATGAATATATAGCGTTGTTGCTGTGAATGAATATAAGATCGAGCCTTGTGATATTCGTTATATTTTCTCATTTTATTAAAAAGTCTTTTCAAATAGCGTTGTTTCGATACCGAGATATTTTTCCTATAGGGGAATTGATTTTTCATGATTCAAGTATGAAATTGAAGAGTAAATTTTTTCGATTGAATTCTTTTCAAGACAATTCTTGATGTGTGGCATCATAATATTTTATTAGCATATGATACAAAAGCATTTCTTCTAAAATCATTGTCTCATGTGAATGTATTCACATGAGATAGGGATAATGTTAGAGTTATGCATTACTGCATTCAATTTGCCTTTTTTCATTTAATTTTGTATAGTAGTAATGCTCGTTTGATCATCTCATCGTCAGGGGCCTTATGGCTGAGTGACTAGGGCTCTGGCGCTCTGTGCCACAGGTTTTGGGTTCGAGTTCCGGAGGTGTCAAGGCTGTTTGTAGTGGTTCAGAATCCACTTGAAACCGTAGGTCCTGGTCTAATATGACTGTTGAGAGTAGGGATGATAACCCTACCCCGTAAAAAGTAAACATCTCTTGTCTTGAAATCTGACAGTTGGCAGACAACCTTGACCCACCATGGGGCTGTTGCACCAATGAAAAAGGAATGCTCGTCGTTGTTTTCCTCTAGCGTCACCGCCAAAAGCGGCCCCTGACAAAATTATTAACAGTATACTCGTTTTGTTATCATAATATACTCATAAGTACTCATAGTATAGTCATAACGATCTACATTGCAATGTTGTAACATGAAACGATGTAATCTAAGCAGTTTGTGACACACATGATTTTATATGTATTCATAATGGACCACAAAACTGGAATCAGAAGGACATATTAGAATCCTAGATGGTGTACAGTCACTGTCCTCATTTCTATCCAGTTATTTAACTGATGCCAAAAATACAGTTCAGTGATGCTTATTCTTCAGTTTTTAGATGTACAGAGGTCAGTACCAGTAGTTGTTGTTTGGTTACCTTAATGTATTGGTTACATAATTCAAATTGAGTATTGGTTTCTTGGCAATGATGTAGTTTGTGTGGACCATTGGTGTTAATGAAGTGCTATTTGTTTAGTTCAAATTAATACTCAAATATATAATATTTGAATCAATTGTGAATGATATTATTGAATGACAACCGAGTCAAACTTGTTTGACTTGTGTTGTCGTCAGCATGCAAATAGCTATCGAAAGGGAGTGCTACTGTTTGTATTGCATACACCTTGGTGAGAACAAATTGATGTTCGCCGTATGATTGATTAATGTTAGGTCGAGAATTAGAGGAACTGAATTTACCTTGATTAAGAGTAATTGTAATTATTCCATTGATTTACGATTTCTCGTACAATTATTTGCTCTGCTCAATTAATCCAATCATTGTTAGTTGTAATAGTTGGATGGATCTTAATAATCTTCAATATATGTATATATAAGGGTTCAATATAAAACGTTTCTGGTCAGAACAGCTTCTTAAAGAAAGTGGATAATTTAAGGCCCATCTGACAATACGTTCCCCTTTCAGAACGTCTTTTGTAAGCAAAGGTTTGTTTACTTCACTGGAATCTATTAAAGTGCTTTTGGATTCAAACGAGTTTAATTATCATGCGTTTTGCATCAATTTAATGTATATTTTGGAAAATTCCGAGAGACATTCGAAACATTTTCCACTAAATATCAGGTTGGGGAAACATAAATCCATTATTTTTTCGGTAGCTGGCTGTACAGATCGATATCTCGTAAAATATCTATCGAACAATTTCAGATTTATGCTTGTTGGAAAGGTGACATTTTGCACTAAACAATTCTTTGGGAGTTACAGGGTGCTAAAAATGGAAGTCAACAAAGAGAAAATTCGGTACGTTTTACAGTTTTTATTTGGTATAGGCGAAATTGCAAGTCAGGTGGCTGAAATTATGAATGGTGTTTATGGTCCTGATAATATAACAAACAATTACATGAAATTTCGGTTTCGTCGATTCCATTGAGATATTTTTGTTATTAAATCTGCACCTCACGCAATTAGATCAGTCGTCGAAAATGTCGATAAAATCACAGAAATAACCGAAGTTGACCGACATATTAGCAGTCGTAGCATTTCCCAGAAGCTAAAGATTGACCATAAAACAGTTTTAAATCATTTGCATAAAGCTGGATTCAAAAAGATGCTTGATGTTTGGATGCCACACCAATTAACATAAAAAAACAGGATGGATCGATTGACCATCTATCATATAGTCCGAACCTGGAACCAAGCGATTACCATGTTTTTAAAGCATTGCTAAACTTTCTTAGTGATAAGAAATTGACACAAATAGAAGAGTGTGAAAATCGATTACTAAAGTCTTCTGCCAATTATAGAACAAAACGGTATATATTTGACTAAAATTGGTAATCCAAAACATGTTAAATAAATACTTGAAGTACACGTAAAAATAATGTATTTCATTTTTCCCCAACCTGATATAATCAAAATAGCTAACATTCCACTTTAACATTCCTTTATTTCAATCTCACTTTAAGCAAACTGCTGAATATAGTCTATCCATTTGCACTCATTTGGAGGAAATAGTATTCTACATATGTTCTCATTGGTGATCTAAAGCCAACCCACCTCACTAAATCATTGCGTGGAGAGATTCGTACTCCAGAAATTACTAGAAGCGGCAGATGTTTGATTCCGTAACGAATTTGCAATCACGAAGTCTGTTCAACCATACTTTAACTACGAGGTTATCGCGTAAATGAAAGTCTTCCCATGCTTATATAATAAATGTTTCTTTGTAAGACCCCTAATATAACCCATACATATATTCCAATTAATAAACTTTACAAGATTATATTACTAATAATCATTAATCTATTTCAACACAATTTATCGTGATATTTGATATGAATTAGGTTACTATGTGGTTATTGTAATGAAGAGATGCAGAGTCGAAATTTAAATAAAGGATTAATAAGTTTTCACATATTCAAAATAATTAAATTAATTGCATCAAGAGTTATTAAATTGTAATTAACTCTTATTTTATTTATTTATTTTATTTTTTATCAACGGCCGTACCATGCTGAATATACCGGTTCTCGTTAGATCACCGAAGTCAAGCATCATTGGGCGCTGCCAGTACTTGGGTGGGTGACCACCTGGGAACACTGCGTGCCGTTGGCAAATTTGGGACATGAATAGCCGAGTGTCTAGCGCTCTGGCGCTCGGTGCCACAGGTTTCGGGTTCGAATCCCGGCGGTGCCATGGATGTTTGTAGTGGTTCGGAATCAACTTTAAGCCGTAGGTCCTGGTCTCCTATGACTGTAAGAGCGTCACGGAGCAAAAGTCAGGCTTCTACCTACGGGTGCTCCATCACAACAGAAGCTGCTTTCTTCCCCTTCAATCATGAGTACGTCATGGGCTCGTGGGCTTGGCCAGCCAAGTGGGATAAGAAACAACAACAAACAACAACTTTTTTTATTTAATACCAATATCTTATGGAGTTAAGAAATGTTAAATACACGTACGTACCTTGAGTGATATTCATTATTGAAGATAGAAGTTGCAATTCTACTATTCGTATCCTTGTAATTCTCTATTAATAACCAATAATTACATTTATTTTAATGAATTATGAATTTTACCCAAGTATCTTTTGGTGTTACAAATTTATAGGTTAAATAAATTCTTATATTTCATTACAATAACTAAAATAATTCAAAATTAAATATATTTATACTAAATCTCGTAAAGTTTTGAAATAAATATTACAGAAAAATTGAATTAATATCTAAAGAAGGCTTGAATTTTGTTGAATTGTGAATATTTAAATCTATTTTACAGATTAGTTTTATATTTATTAAGGAAATTTTTTTCATACTAGGGTTTTTTTCAAAAATTACCTTTTCCACAATTGTTAAAGGTAAGAACGTTTTATTCCTACTTCATGACAATTTTCTAGTAATGAGTTAAATATTTTATACTTTATACCGTGCATATTATTTAGAAATAGTTCTTCAGCATTTAAAAAAAACCATTCAAAGGAATTTTTTTCCGTTCATGAAAATCTCAAAGAATTTAATATGCCCAAAGCATATTAAATCAATGAAGAGATCCGAATATTAATAAATGATTTTTTTTTATGAATACATGTTTTTTAATTAATAAAATGTTTTTTTTATAAAATGTATAGGATTACATCTGTTTTTACTCTGAAGCTTTTGTTTAAATGTCTGGTGTTAAATTTCTTAAAAATCCGTTTCTTAATTTAAAGGATTAATTTGAGAATGTTGTAAGCTTTGAAAGTTCATTCATAAAAACTTCTAACTATTGTTTTAAATTAAAAAAATGTTGTTTTAATCTTAATTTTTACAAGCAGGAGCATTCACTAAATGTTCTACTTAATTAATCCTTCTAAACACTATTCAGTATGAACAAACAGGGTTACTAATAGACAGAAACCTTCTGAAATAATGTCTTTAACTTTAGAAAGTTTCCAGACAATATACATTTCATCTTAGGTATTTGGATTTTCTTTTCATTCTTATCTTTAATTCAGCAAATAAAAAAAAATATTCTGTCTGCGCATGGACACTAAATGCTATACATTTAATATACTACTGGAAGTCTTTCTTTGTGAAGATATTCTTCCATTGTAAAAATATTTCTTATCCTTTCGCAACATGGGGTATATCTTCTTGTTCTGTCTTTGTTACGAGTTATTGTTCGAACTTTGATTTTTTTTTTATCAGACAGATTTTTTTTCTTTCCTTTCTATTCATTAGAACTTGCTTGTTGATCTGGATATTTCCGAATAAATACAAAAAAAAAAAAAAAAAAAAAAAATCTTATATTTCTGTTGGTTTTTTTTGTTTCGGAAGGAATTCTTTTCTATTTCTGTGCTGTTCCTATAATGATGTTTTTAAGCAAAGCCAGTATTTTTATTCCTTAAACATATCGTTTTTCCTCCTTTTGCTTTTTGGGGGATTGGGTGCAGGTGATTATTATGAAGTATAAATTATGGAAAAAGAGAAAAAAAATTTTTGCTTATCATGAAAATTATTTAATGACAGTAAATTTTAAAATTAGAGATCTAGTTTGGTTTTTCGCTCTACAGTCATTTTGTGCATACTTGGGATGTAATTAGACTTGGACCTACGCTTTAAAGTGGATTCAGAACCCCTAACAATCATCCAAGCCACCGACAAGTTTCGAACCTGAATTGACCAAAGGTCAGAGCTCTAGCCAATTGGCCATCAGAGTTCTGATTAGAGGATATCTGATCTTATATTATATTATATCTGACCTGATGTGATATTAGAGATCTGATTAAGATTTGTACGAGACGTTATTAAAAAAGTTATTTAATTCTTTCGTTTCCTGAAACGCGTATCCTCAACTATCTGGCCACTTCGATCACCAGAATTCTCATCGCAGAAAGAGAGTAGTGAAATCGCTTCTATATACCAGATTTGCCTGAAAAGTTGATAAATGGCGAAATTACAAGATTCAAAATGTGATTCATTGCACTGGTCGAAATAATGAACTATTAATAGCATAAAACAAAATTTAATGAAGCAACTAGCCATTTAAATCCTCCTTCATTTTCAACAAATGACCATCCAAGAGTAATTATCTATAGGCAAAATTTTATACCAATTCCACTAGACCCTCCAAACATAAAAATCCAAATTCATGACAATGATATTTGTACAGAGCTCCTCTTTGTATACAATTAATAATAAATCATTTTAAAAAAATAGTCTAGTGATTTTGAATCTATGTGAAAACTTTTTTGAAATGGTTTTTCAGCATTTAAAAAAAAAATCATTCAAAGTAATTTTTATACGCCTTGAAAATCTCAAAATATTTATTATGTTCAATGAATATTAAACCAATGAACAAGCAGATCCAAGTTCCTAGTATTAATAAAGGATTTTTTTTATGGAAACATGATTTTTAATTAATAAAAAAACTTGTTTATTAAAACGTATAGAATCACAGAGCTTTAGATTAAATGTCTGGTGTTAAGTTTCTTAAAAATCCATTTCTTAATTTAAAGGATTAAATAGAGAATGTTGTAAACTTTGAAAGTTTATTCATAAAAACTTCTAACCATTGTTTTAAATAAAAAAACATTGTTTTAATCTCAATTTTTACAAGCTGGAGCCTTCACTAAAAGTTTTACTTAATTAATCCATCTAAACACTATTGAGCATGAACAAATAATGTTACTAATAGATAGATACTTCTGAATTAATACATTTGGCTTTAGAAAGTTCCCAGACAATACTTTTCATCTTAGGTGTTTGGATTTTCTTTTCATTCTGATCTTTAATTCAGCAAATAAAAAAAATTATACTGTCTGCGCATGGACACTAAATGCTATTCACTTAATATACTACTGAAAGTCTTTCTTTGTAAGAATATTTCTTATCCTTTTCGCAACATGGCGTATACCTTCTTGTACTGTCTTTGTAACTAGTTATTCTTCTATCTTTGACTTTTTTTTTCAGGAATTCAGACTGATTTTTTTTCTTTCCTATCTATTCATTAGAAGTTGCTTGTTGATCTGGATATGAAATTTCCGAATAAATACGAAAAACAATAACATCTTATATTTCTGCTGTTATTTTTTGTTTCGGAAGGAATTCTTTCCTAATTATGTGCTGCTCCTATAACACTGTTTTTAAGCAAACTGAGAATTCTTATTCTTTAAACGTATTATTTTTATAAAAAAAATAGTCTAGTGACTTTTGATTTACCATGCATATTATTTAAAAATAGTTTTTCGTCATTTGAAAAAAAAAATCATTCAAAAAAATTTTTACACGCCTTGAAAATCTCAAAGAATTTAATATGTCCAACACATATTAAATCAATGAACAAGCAGATCCAAGTTCCGAATATTAATAAATGATTTTTTTTTATAAAACACGGTTTTTAATTAATAAAAAACTCGTTTAATAAAATGCATAGTGTTACACCTGTTTTTACATTAAAGATTACATTCTTAAATTAAATGTCTGGCGTTAAAATATAACTATTTCTTAATTTAAAGGATTAATTTTAGAGTGTTGTAAACTTTGAAAGTTTACACATAAAAACTTACAACCATTGTTTTAAATAAAAAAAATTGTTTTAATCTCAATTTTTACAAGCTAGAGCAGTCACTATATGTTTTAATTAATTATCCTTCTAAATTTAGTAAGAGCAAATAGTGTTACTAAACTCATGTTTGTGAAAATTCAGTGACCAACATCAGTGAAGTTATACAGCCCCAAGCTGTTCCCTTCCTTCAAAGCTTGCTAGGCGCTGTATTTCAACAGGACAATGCCCGCCCTCATATCGCCAGGACTGTTCAATCCTTCTTTGCAACGCGGCAGGTACAGCTTCTTCCTTGGCCTGCGTATTCCCCGGATATGCCACCGATTGAACATGTGTGGGATTTCGTTGGTCGGCGTCTCGCTCGTGATCCTCGTCCTGTTGCTTCTGCAGACAAACTTTGGGTGCGCATACAAACAATATGGAATGCTCTTCCTCAGGCAGAAATTCAAAATTTGTTTGACTCCATGCCACGTCATGTAGCAGCACTTATTGCGGCGCGTGGTGGCTACACAAAATACTGATTCCGATCTCTTGTTATTGTTTGTTTGCTTTGAACATTTAATCATTTATTTGTACCACTACTACTCAACTTTGTACTAAATTTCATTCAATTATGACGATTCCTTCATGGTGTTGCAATTTTCACAAACATGAGTTTAATAGATAGATACCTTCCAAATTAATACCTTTAGCTTCAGAAAGTTCCCAGACAATACTTTTTATCTTAGGTGTTTGGATTTTCTTTTCATTCTGATCTTTAATTCAGCAAATAAAAAAAAAATTATACTGTCTGCACATGGACACTAAACGCTATTCACTTAATATACTACTAGAAGTATTTCTTTGTGAAGATATTCTTCCATCGTAAGAAGTATTCTTATCCATTCGCAACATGGTGTATATCTTGTTGTTCTGTGTTTGTTACGAGTTATTCTTCGATTTTTTTTCTTTCTTTTCTGTTCATTAGAAGTTGCTTGTTGATCTGGATATGAAATTTCCGAATAAAAACAAAAAAAAGTCATATATTTCTGCTGTTGATTTTTGTTTCGGAAGGAATTATTTCCCTTTATGT